CACCTTTTTAAACGGTAACTGTAACGGAATACAGTTACTCATATTTTGTATTTTAAATACGTAACGGCGGTACATGTATTCCGTTACTCCCCAACACTGCCCCCAACAGGTTGCAGCATATAAAACAAATCTGAAATGAATGAATTTCGACTTTATTTGTCAGGAAAAATGTACAAAGAAAAAAAAGCGAACATTAAACTTCTCCTAAGAGAAAAGATGCACCTACTAGCTAATTTCCATCTGCACTATTTAAATCCACGTGGACAGTCTCCAGCATTAATACATCCCCGCACAGCGCCCCCAGCATGCAGCAGTATACTTTGACTGAACATAAACTGCTCTGCTTCCTCAAAACTCAGCAACGGCCCAAAGTGTGAGTGTGTGTAGAAAAAATTAGTCGCTAACAAATGCCCAAACATATTTTTAAAGACTTAATGACGAGCAGTTTGAGGAAACTGCTGTAAAATTCATCACATTTTTGTTGCAGATCTTATTAAAACAACATAATTATGACATTTACCCGTTTCTTTATCTGGAAATCTCCATTTTAAAAAAAATCCCCACTAATCGAATGCAAATCAAATACACACAAGATGATAGCTTTTTCCCCCATGTTGGGCTCTGTTATCTAACACCATCTAGATTGTGGTGATGAGGTCCTATCAGCACCACTGCACCTGCTATTTTGCAGCAGCTTTACAGTAAAAGGCTGCTAGTGCAGCAATTTACTCAGCAGCACGTAGCAGCCTTAAGGATTCAAAGATAAAGCCAAAGAACAAGTGGCAGAAAGCGGTTTGCCCCAACAGTGAACCCCATAGATGTTAAAATGCACTCCTTTACACCAGAAACACTTAATATGGCTTTCTTTTAAAATAAACCTGTTTAAAAGTAACCAATTAAAGATATGCATTATTAGACCTGATCATGTGTTGTACCACTGCTGGCTGCTGTAGCTGCTGCCTCTCAGCTTTGCTTCACTTCCATGAATTTGAGTCACTGAACTGGACTTCTCTGTGCTGTCTGTGCCTTCTGGAGCATTTTAATGATATTATCTGACAAATAATGCAGTTTACTAACAATGCTACGGCAAAAACACTCATATTAAGGCTATTAAGGCATCTGTGATGTCACAGCAGGTTTGTCTATATACAGTCTCTGGTTAAAATGCTCAGTTCTAGAGTGGCTGACTGCTTGGCCCCCACCTCTGCTAATCCAATTTAGTGAACTGACGTTTGTCCTGTTGGTGGCTTTTTGAGCATTTTTAATGGAGTTATCTAACAATAATATGGCTTGTTGTATGGTACAGCTTCACGAAAAAGAAGATGATGCCTGAGCAGTATGCTTTTATTCTGACGTGACTGCAGGACACGGAATTCAAGGTGAAGCCAATATATCATATTCGTTAAAAAATAAAATGACTTTTGTTTTGGGTTTTTTCCCCCTTTTCACCTCGTATGACGGTGGAGGTGATGAAGCCGTCAACTCGAGACCAGTGGCTGGTGGATGGACTCGTCTCAGGGTGCCACTGAATCAGGAAATAACTGACAGGCAGGGTGTGACCTTGGTTGATGGGGATCTTCCACTGGACCAGAAGCTCTTTTTTTCCTGGGTAAGAGGTGGAAATCCACATGTTTCTGACAGAGGGAAGAGCTGCCGAAAACAGGGCGCACGTTATTACATAGATTAAGATGAAGAAGACAACGCTCATCATCAACAGTAAAATAAGCTACCGTTTTTAAGTCTCCTATTTTTGAGATCCACAAACCGCACTTGTTCCAATGCACTGTGCATTTTTGAAATTTCTCTTCTTGTTAAACGTACGAGGCAAGTTTTTAAGTAAAAAACAGACGAGATCGTGGAAAGATTTTGCAATAGGTTTTGTAAAAACAGCATGTCACTGGTCTGCTGCTTCCTTCGATGAAAAAATAACATGCAGGATGTTGCAAAAGTGAGCAGCATGCGTATCATATCTAATATGTAGAGCTGGAAGCCAATAGTCACGATTGTGTAAGATGTGCAAATGTCTTTTTTATTTGTCCTTGAAATGTCGTTGGAGACATATACATACAGAACAAGGATGCTTCTGGCCTCTGCTATTTTTGGCAGTTAATATAGTTGGGTTTTTATTACATATCTAAATTTTGACCAGGTGACTGACGAGCTAGCCTGGGTGTATATATGTTTGTAGTGACCAGATATTGTCAGTGGGTTGCTGACTGCCTCTACACCTGTAAGACTGAGGCCTAAAATGCATTAATTAATTCTTCTCCCCTTGGATGCTTTTAGAGCTGCTGTCAAATATTCCCTTTATGGAGGAAAGAGTTCAGTAGCTTTAGGAAGAAATGCATTATTTAAAGCAAGTCATGTTAAAATTGTGATGTCTGTGGCGATCAATATTCTACAAATACCCCAGCATATCACTCAGAACATTAATATAACAATAACAATAATTACATGTCATAACCAGCGTCTTCTGTCTTTGTGTGCTGAAGCTGAGATGGGCAGCAGGGCCGTAGCCAGCTGTGTTGAAGGCTCTGACTGCGATGCTGCAGTTCCCCTCCTCCACCACTAGGCGTGTCACATCAGTGGTGTTTTGAATCAGTCCACCTTCTTTATAGCTCATCTGGTATCCAAGGATTCGACCTTCAGTTTCAAGAGACTCAGGAGCCTAAGATGGAAAAAAGAAACAATAATAAGAGATTCATTTTAGTAAATCAGAACGGTATTTTTCTGCATTTATATGAGAAATCATCATCATAGGTAAGTAGGGATGGGTACCGGTATCTGGTGCCATGATGGCATCGGTTCTGACATAAACGGTAGTAACCAGACCGAAAAGCAG